TCAGACGGGAAAATGAGATGGCAGCCTTTCTGCTTATTCACATTTATACAAATCATTTTGTTGCAGTTTGATGTTAGTTCTTCATGATAAGCCAATTGCTCTTCTTCCGGTGGCTTCGTGAGTCCCTTAAATTATTTAGTGAAAACAAAGTACTCGAATGAAACGGAGTGTTTTGCACACTAACATATATATATTAAAGCTACATACACTTAACTAAAGGAAAGAAACCTTTAGAAAATGGACTGGATATTATTGAAAATATTATTCTAAACAAGAATGTACTACATGATTGTATTACTTTACGTTTCAATTTCACGAGAGAAATAGAACTCGAGAGGGGGAGCAGAGAAGAAGTGATGGAAATGAAAGAAGACTAATAGCATGAGAGGAAAGAAAAGAGCAAAGAAGACAAGAAAACGGTGTAAACAGGAAAAGGAGGAGCATGGGAGAGAGAGAAAGAGAGAGAGAGAGAGATAGCCTTGAGCTTTGGATCAGCTAATGAGTAATACATGAAACAGATTTTGAGCGGAGTAATTATCTTTCGCCGGAGAACTTGCGTAAGGAGCTATAATTTTATTTTTTATTTTTTTAAATCAAACATTATGGGGAATAGCAAAAAACGGTTGTCTTTTTGCTCTTTTCTTTCCTCTCATGTTATTAGTCTTCTTTCATTGAGGTAATTTCAGGTCTTACATATTGATGAGCTGTTTGAAATTAACTAGGAGGTATGCGCGTATTGGGGAATGTGGCTTGCTGCTCTACTTTAAAAAAAAAAAACTTCCCATGACATGTAATGAGTGTTTAGTGTACATTATGTGGGACGTACAGTGATAGATGGAAAGTTATTTCAGTATATTCGAAATGACTTTTAGGCAACTGCTTTTTCCTCCCACATTATCAACATTCATTCATTTCATTTCATTTACATAATGTCATGAAATGCATTCAAAAAATGAAGAAAAAAAGAAAGAAACAAAAACAACCCGTGAAAAAAAAATATTGTCGGCGAAGCATTTGTCGTAGTACTAGTAGCATTTGTATTTAATGGGACACTTTTTGGGCGGAGCAAATGTCGTCGGAGCAAATGTCACCGGAGCAAGTGTCGCTTCATGCGGAGCAAATGTCGTCGGAGCAATTGTCGGCGGAGCAATTGTCGACGGAGCAATTGTCGGCGGAGCAATTGTCGGCGGAGCAAATGTCGTCGGAGCAATTGTCGGCGGAGCATATGTCACCGGAGCAATTGTCGCTTCAGGCGGAGCAATTGTCGGCGGAGCAATTGACGGCGGAGCAAATGTCGGCGGAGCAAATGTCGGAGGAGCAAATGTCGGCGGAGCAAGTGTCGCTTCAGGCGGAGCAAATGTCGGCGGAGCAAATGTCGGCGGAGCAAATGTCGGCGGAGCAAATGTCGGCGGAGCAAGTGTCGCTTCAGGCGGAGCAAATGTCGGCGGAGCAAATGTCGGCGGAGCAATTGTCGCGTTTTGCGGAGCAATTGACGGCGGAGCAATTGTCGGCGGAGCAATTGTCGGAGGAGCAATTGTCGGCGGAGCATCTGTCGGCGGAGCAATTGTCGGCGGAGCAACTGTCGGCGGAGCAACTGTCGGCGGAGCACCTGTCGGCGGAGCATTTGACGTCGGAGCAAATGTCGCGGAGCAAATGTCGCGGAGCAATTGTCGCGTTTTGCGGAGTAAATGTCGGCGGAGCAATCGTCGGCGGAGCATGTGTCATGGAACCGTCACAGTAATGCTGAGCATCCGTTGTCATGGATGAAATGAGAGTGACGTTGATTGTACGATGACGACGTGTTGTTTTACAAGCTCAGTCCAGTAGACTTTACGAAAGCCACTGTAATAAAAGTGTATAAAAACCACACATGAAAACGACATAAAGTTATTAATCAGCATAATATTAACTGTTAATTGTTAGTTTTCTGTTAACTCAACAGCTCAACAATACTTGTATCTTGAAAAGCCAATTTTATTTTATTTATGTTATTATGTAAATAACCTTGAATATATATTTTTGTATGTGTTTCAAATGAAAATCAATAAAATCCCTGTGGAGGGAAAAATATGGGAAAAAAAATAATATTAACTGTTACATGAAACGTGGGGTTCTGCGCTTGAAATATAAATACAATATAGCAATAATAATGATACAGCGTGCATGAATATGGAAAAGATAATCCTGGGACAGTTCCCAACTGGTCAGCTAAAGGTTCTTAATTAGGCTCAGCCTCAGGAGGGACAATAATATTCATGACATGACGTTGCGGGCCACCATTCGTTACACATTATAATAATACATTATTATGAAAACAATTGTATCTTTATTTTTTTCGTTAGACGTCATCATTTTTTTGTATTATATCAATTTTGTTTTGTGTGGTAGCTTTACAAGCAAACTGATGCGGGCATGGTGCGAAAGATAGTCTATGCGGACATTTTTTTTTTTTTTTTTTTTTTGGAGTCCAAAAAAGAGTCGCAACGACTCAGCCAGGCGAAAATTCGCTCAGTGTGGGGGGGGGGGGGCATAATTTTTTTTTTTTTTTTTTTTTTTTAATGTAAAAAAAAAAAAAAAATCAAAAGGTTCACAAAAAACATACACATAACATACACATAAAAAAACTCAAGGGGTGGGGGGTATAACTCCCCCCCCTCCCCTGCATACGCGCCTGCGTGTAACTGATAATTATCGTGACGTCATCCAGGCACCATTTTGTGAAAATCAACTCATGATCATATCTTCTTAACGCAAAGACATTTCTCATTCATATTTATCATGATTAAGATCAATTTCCGTCCGGTCAATTTCAGGTCAATAAACGTGCGCAAACGCGCGCAACAATTTAAAATGCTCCAAATCATCCCAATTTTTTTTTGCATTCATTTCAGGCCATATGGAGCACTAGACAAAAAATCACGCGCACGCGCATTTTTGTGAGTTTCCGTTTATCACGGCCGAACACAAAATAATTCCCCCTCATATTTTTTTGACAGGATATTCCTCATATTTTTTCTGAACAATTTGATACCATGTTCATCTCTTTATCACTATTAATAACGGAATGAGCGTCCGTTCAAGATAAATATCCGTGCGCGCGAGCTCATGTATGAGATAGCATATATGGTCAAACACATGCCAATACAAAGTCCATTATAGCTCTTTGGAATGAATAAGAACTGCCATTTTTTTCATATTTAGATAGTGTAGGAGTCGGAGATATGATTTCAAATCTTAGTTGGCCATTAAGTACATCTTGACGTCATCATAATGGTCTTGGAAGTCAAAATACAAAAATGCATATTATGACGTCATTCTATTTATGGAAAATTTAGTGTATTTCTCGTAATATTGATTGATTTTCTTACACATTTCGGTATCTTGTAGTTGAGGCAACTGCCTACAAGATCAATGAACACTAATTTTCATTTCAATGACGTCATCATAGTACAAAATTCAATTAAAGGCCACATGTCAAAATTTTCGTAATTTGCGTGTTATACCTATGGAAGGTGAATTTTGTCCACATCATAAATCTACATGATATTGATCTTTGAGCACTATCTAGCTTATTTGTGCCCTATTGTCTATCAGACAAGGATTAGGAGTCAAGAACGGTACAACAAATCGTCTACTCTCTCTAATAATGAAACGTCAAAGCTTCCGCGCTTCGATCGCGCGGGAGGGGGAAGGGAACTGAATTCAGACAATTAGGGTTAAGAGTCGAGAACGGTACAACGAATCGTCTTCTTATTCTAATAATTTAAGGAAACTTCTAAGCACTTTGCCTACCCGCTCAGGCACATTATCAAGTCAAATTATATATACAAATTTCGGCTCGCGCTTTGCGCTCGTATGGTTTAACTGCATGGAATTCCGAACGTGATTACCGTCCTAGAACCCCCGACGCCATATTGGTTTAATCTATTATTTAATATATTATTTATTTATTATTGCCTATTGGGTATATAATTTAGACCCAAAAGGCAAAAAATACTGTGTTTCCAGGTAATCACCCTACCCCCCTTTTCTAGTAGAAAAAGGAAGGGGGGCAGTCGGGACAAAAAAATCTTCAAACGGCGGGTCAAAAACAAATGATGGAGCCCCCCCCCCCCCAACTCCTATATTTCCTATTTTTCTCTGCTTTACTACATCAAGGACGCAGATCTTATCACCCCAAAGCATATTCGATAATGGTATGCACCTCCTAACAACTATAGGGTACTGATCTCAGGTAGATTGGATGCACTGTTTCAAATACAATCAAGGTCGACTGCCGATCGAGCATCTACTAGATACATGAATCTATTGTCCTACAATCGTTGGTCTCAAGGAAGCATTCATCTTTTTTTTTTGTCTCTTTCTTTCTTTTTCCCTAATTTTCTTGTAGGCTGTAGCCAAGTTTATAGAAAAAAGTGCCCATGAGAAACAATTAACTTCAGAGGGCAGCAAAGCTTCTTTTTTTTTTCTTTTTTTTACTATCTTTCTATTTTTATTTCTTTTTATATTTCTATTTTATTTCTTAGTCTTTTTTATTTTCATTTTTTCCATTTCCTTTTATTTAATTTTTTATTTTTTTATTAAATGGTCTGTCATCGACATGAGACCACGTATTGATTTCGTCAGAATTGTCTTTTCTTTCTTTATTTCTTTCTTTATTTTAATTCTCTCTTCATCTCTCCATATGAGATCCCTAAAGCCTCCAAACCACCTTATTCGTCTTTAGTGAGAATGCGTATCTCGTTTTTTAATAGCGGTATAACTTAAGCATTTGTTTAATATCGAGTTCGTGTTGATCATATACTACAGGCAGACCTGACTCATTTTGGTTCTGCAATATTGTCCACATAATGTTGGGATGTTACATTTTATCAGTAATGTAGAAAACTAATTCATACTCTTTTTTTCCCCCAAACAGATAGGTTCCGGTTACGGTAAAAAGAAACTGATCAAAGGAAACATATTACGGGAGTAAGATGTGTGATTATTAAACTACTTACCTCACAAACAGGAATGTCTTCGTTGTAAGTTCCATCAAAGCAGATAATATGAGTTGCACCAATCAGTGTGTAACCCGGGTTACATTGAAAAGTTAGAATATGGCCGTGGTCAAAGGTTCCAGATTGACTACCAAAGTCTGGCGTACCTGGGTCTTCACAGTTTACTTGAAAATGAAAAAAAGAAGTAGTAAGAGAGAATGACGGAACACTGTTTTTCTCGCGAAGCTGTTCAATGGTCAGTGTATGTTCTTGAACAGTGGCGTATAAACGGCCCCCCCCCCACTCCGGGGTCGGAATGACCCCATGCGTGTTACCAAAATGTCCGGTAAAGGGGTACTTTTCGTGCGACAAAGTCCGGCCCGAGAATTGTAAAAAATAGGGGTGTATTAACTTTTCACCCGGAGATTTCTTTAAAAAGGGGGTGTTTTTTCTTTTTTTCTCTCGTCTCTTTGGACTCCTGAGAAATTATTCCGAATTTAGGGGGGTACATTGACGTACATCGACGCCCCCACAATAACAAAAAAAACAAAGAAAATGCAATAATTTTTCAATAATTCATTGCATTTCCCCCCAGTCCCCAACAGGAAAAATTTCTCTGTAGGGCCATGCATTATGGTTCAAGACATGCCCACATAGAAGATTTTTTAATGTTGGGGGTCGGGGCAAACTGCAATGAATTATTGAAAAATCTGAAAAATTTGAAAAATCGCACCCCCCCCCCTTTGAACGTCAGGAGGGGGCCTCTCTCAAAAAAAAGGTAAAATTAACGTGTAATTTTAAACCTTATTTGTGACACTGGCAGGCCACGAATTGGCGTGGGGTCCAGGGGGTGGAGCCCCCGGAAGCTCAGGGGTTTTAGGGCAATAAATTACTGTCAGATGAGCATGATTTTATACCTTATTCGTGACACTGGCAAGACACAAATTAGTGTTGGGTCCAGGGGGCGGAGCCACCGGAAGCTCAGGGTTTTGGGCAAGAAATAAACGTCAGATGGGCATATTTTTATACCTTATTTGTGACACTGGCAGGACACAAATTGGTGTTGGGTCCAGAGGGCGGAGCCCCAAGAAGCTCAGGGGGTTTTATACATTAAATTCTCGTCAGATGAGCATATTTTGAAACCTTATTTGTGACACTGGCAGGAAACAAATTGGTGTTGGGTCCAGGGGGCGGAGCCTTCAGAAGCTCAGAGGTTTCTACATTAATTTATCGTCAGATGAGCATAATTTTATACCTTATTTGTGACACTGGCAGGTAACTAATTGACGTGGGGTACGGTCAGATGAACATATTTTGATACCTTATTTGTGACACTGGCAGGAGGTCCAGGGGGCCGAGACCCCAGAAGCTTAGGGGTTTTAAGCATTAAATTACCGTCAGATTAGCATCCAGCCGTCCGCCTTAGGGCCCTAGATGCGGTCCAGGGGGCAGAGCCACCGGAAGTCAAGGGGTTTTAGGCATTTAATTACGGTCAGATGAGCATATTTTGATACCTTTGATATCTTTCCCCTTTTTTTCCTTCTTTTTTCCCTTCTTTCTTTTGGCCAGGGGGGGGGGGGGGGATGGACGAGTGGATATGTCACCGGACTGTGGATCATAAGGTCCGCGGTTCAAGTCCCACCGCGGCACTTATGTCCTTTGGCTACATTTCCCACTCTCCACCCAGGTGTTAAATGGGTACCCGGTAGGATGCGAAAGCTAATGTGCTTAGATTAGCAAGTGTGCGCTTGTAAAAATGACGCCTGGCTGGAATGCTCCCCAGGGAGTGGAGAATGTGCATACATTGTGTGCGGGTAAGCCTGAATCCTATGACCGGGGTAATAATATATATATATTTCTGTAAAGCGCTTTGAGAGGGCCTTCGGTCCTGAAAAACGCTATATAAAAACTAGCTATTATATTATTAACCATTAAGTATAACTTTCACAGAAACTTTTCGGTTAGAAACTAACCTAAATGGTAGGAAACTTGCTGTGGGAATTTTTGTATCGTAATCGGGATGTCGCATACATTAATATGTATCTTATTTAGTTTGTAGATACAAAATAGTTCTTGAATATGTTAAAGATGACATTTTGGAGGCTAAAATAAAAAAAAATAAAAAGGGTATGTACATGACACTTGAAGAGTTTCAGGGAAATATAAACAAAAATATGATGTGATGAATTCGGGATTGGCGAGAAGCGACACTTGTATTTCTGAAAAGACTGCCATGCTGAAAAAAAAGGTTGAAAAACGCTGGTAAACACACTAATAATAAACACGTCTTCTTTTCATCCTTGAATTATACAAACTGATGTATCAGATCATTTCCTTATCTTTGTTGTCTTTGAACATCTTACGAAGGCTAGTAAAAAAAAAAGTGAGTGACGCTGACCCAGCCATTTTGCACATGTCGTATACGTTTGGAAATCATGTCATCTGTCGTATACGTTCGGAAATCATGTCATCTTTGCTTGCAAATTCTGGACTACACTTCCCCTCCTCCTTATTACCTTCTCCAGCAGGAGCTGAGGCACAATAGTTGGGTGTGTCACAGAGGCAGGTCACGCGTACCTGGGAACTGATCGTCAGCTCAGGAAAATTAGGAACATTGACAGGATCAATGCCGGGGTCGGAAGATTCTACCCCTTCTAACCTGCAGCCGGTGTCCGGAATCGGCATCGAAAACTCGGAATGTTGTTCGCAACCGAAAGACGACAGCGTCAGGGTAAGTAAATCTATGGTTGCATTTGAACCAAGAATAAAGGACAAAAATAAATAAGTTACGACTCAGCTCTATATCGATGGCCGCTATTCGTGTCAAGATATGGGGATACATAATTGAGTTTGAGTTTATTGATTTCACATTTCACATGCAGAAATAATACAGATAACAAAATATACATAAAAGACATATTTGTTTCATAATTTAAAAAAAATGATTATATTAATTGATAAGGTAATCATCACATTTGTTTGACAACTAATATCATTTAAAGGAAACCCAGACAAAAGTACAAACTGTGAAATGTGCAGGAACCTATAGAAAAGCAGAGCTTGTAAAGGATAGGTTCCTGGGAGACTTGAAAAATAATAGGGACAGAAAATGTTTACTATAGAGAGAGGTACACAATTAAAATTGAGACGGCAGTAATTGACAAATAATTGTTTGCGAGTTCAATACAATACAATACAGAAAAAAGAAGAAAGAAATACATTAAAACGAAGAGGAGTAACGAGCCAATAAATAGCAGAGTATGCACCTATTTCTACCGCACATGTTTGCACCACCTGAACGTTTACAAAAACCGAACAATAGAAATCATGAATTATTCATTCCTTTCCTGTTAAAATTCACTTATGTCACACAGGCAAAAGAACGCGTAAAATTGCAAATGAATTGTAAAATAAAATGGTACACGTTATAAGAAAAAAGAACATTATACATGAAATGTCTAATCATCATTATCATTTTATGCATTCAACAAATGTAACTTGAGTTTATATTTCAATTGATGAATAGAAGAAGGGTGAAGTAAATCAGGATGAAGATTGTTCCAAAAAGACAGACTAGTATACACAATTGTTTTTTGAGAAAATGAAGTGCGTAAACGGGGGATGTGAAAATCATTCCTTTTCCTGGTAGGGTATGTATGAATGAATATAAAAGTTATATAATGATTTGGCTGTGTAAGGCTGGTGACCTTTATGCTATGGTCACATTACCCAAAAGTAGCCTGCTCGGCGGCCGAGCGGCGAGTTTTTAACCAATTCTGCCCGGCGGCTGCCCGGCCACCGAGCGGCGACCGGCCAGTCACCGCTCGTTGTTAGGGCATCGCTCGGTCGCCGCTGAAGTTTTAGCGCGGAGTTAAAATTTGGGCGGCGCCTGCCCACTTTTCACTCGCCGCCCAAAATACGCTCGGTGCCTGGGCGGTCGCCGCCCGGGCACCGAACTAATCGCTGGGCGATGCCTAATTCCAGCAGCGACCGAGCAGGCTACTGATCGGTCGGTCGCTGCTCTAATTTGTGACCATAGCTTTATATAGTGGGTTTACAACACAGTAATTTTCTGTGGGGGGGGGGGGGGGGGGGTTTCAGTGGCCGCTCTAAGTAAGTGGTCGGTAAGACAGGTTAACTCTTTAATTCAGGTTAAAAACAAGAATTGACAGAGTGAAATATTCGGCGTTATTCATAAACAAAGTCAGTATTAAGTCTTAAAATATGTTCGTTTATATTAATAATTATTAAACATGTGGCAAAACTGTCGGTAACAGACTCGTTCAATCGAGAGGAAAAAGGTATTTATCAATGATAATTTAATTATTTCTATGCTCTCGGGACTCAAGATAAAGCATTGAGGGCACGAAAAAGAAATGTTGGTTGAGATGATACATCAATATTCATTAAACGGTGTAATAACCTTGACACACGTGGGGTCACACGAACAGGACTGCGTCAGTCATGCAGTACGCTGTCTTTGACGCACCACGTGAAAGAGACACCGTACACACATTGATTCAAACGTGATCAGTGAAGACATCGTGTGACGTACGAGCTAAGAACTTTCACAGAATATATGAAATATGGTAATGACGTCTCGTGTGCAGTGACGGGCATTACATTCTTACCAGCGTCACGAATAAAGCTCGTTGCAATCTCCACCAGCTCACATCTGTCACCTACATCACACTGCTCTATTTCAGGGTTTAGAGAACAAGTGTTTCCAACCGGGACGGGCAATGGGAAGGCTGGGTCGTCAGAATATAGCTCGGTGCATTTCGGACAGAAAGGACCACCTGCATTTGGAATAAGCATACCAAGTATGAGCAAACTGAGAAGATGGGATGGAGAAGTACAGGATCTGGGTTTTCACTTCATCTTTATCTTCTTCTTCTTTATATACTTTTTCCACTTCTTCTCCTGCTTCTTTTACGGCTACTTATTTTTCTTCTTCTTCTCCACTTCTTCGTTCTTCTTCTTCTCCTTATCCTTCTTCCTATTATTCTTTATCATTTTTTCTCCCCTTTTCCCTCTTCTTCTGCTTCCTCTTTTTTCTACTACTATTAATGCCAGACGTGAGCCAGTATGGAAATTTGATCAATACCTCACATTGTAATTTATCAATCTTTATACATTCATTTTTCATCATGTCCTGCTTATCAATGAACTTGTAACCATTCTGTACCAAACTGGCAATATTTACCGTAATACGATAACTAAAATCCGGATTTTTGGCCTCTGTGTGACACAGCCTTAACTTCATAATAGATGTCGCCTTAGAAAGGGCTATTGATATCAGGTAGGCCTTATTTAATCAGTACTGTTGTAGAGGCACGTTTAAAAAAATAACTTCCAACGTAATTTAGATAATGCAGCTAATTGTCTTTGTTATGTTTAGTACACAGTACCAGGTAGGTTTAAAGCTAGGTTTAGAGTAAGGGTCGTCTATCGTTTAATTTTTTTCTCCTTAAAAATAAAAATCATGCCTCTACAACTAATTAAACAATGCATTCCAGATTAAGCATTATTAAATTGAATTGAATTGGTTTGGTTTATTGAGAAATCACATCAAACAAGCAGCTCGCAGGCTGAAAATGTTCAATTTACAAACAAGTTAAAAATATAGAGAGATATAAACATATACAAAATTAAAATACATAATGTAAGTCATTGTAAGGTGAAATCGAAATTGCAAAACAAAGTTATACGTTTAATGTAATAATATACTTTCATGTTGAAAGACCAAGACGGTGGGACGGAGAGAATGGAGAAGAAAAAAGGAAGTTGTTTAAGCGAAAGAGTTGAGAAAGTATTTAACAATTGCTATACAAACGTTTCTATTACAAAAATTGAAATTAAGCATTAAAAAAAACCTATTGGATGAGATGAAATTAAACCGTAAAAGTCAAAATGACAGTCTCTATTTCGTTTTCCCCTTTAATATACATGTAATGACAGCATTCATCTAGATCGAGAGAGTTGGTCAATAAAATTAGAATGAGTATATAAATAACAATATAGTGTAATTTTGAATTAGATATTGCACATTGCATTGGAGAAAAAGACCCAAGTCAAATAATTGGCAAGGGCATGAATTAAAAAAAAGAGATCACTAATGAACTAATGAAACAACGGATTAAAATATGTTTACAGTTAGAGGCAGTCTGAGAGTAAATAGGATAAAAGTGGTCCATGATATCAAGCTCAGGTCAAGTTGCAATAGCATCATATCAATCATCTCAGCCCTGCCCCTTGTAGCTATTTGCAAGCTGGTTTAAACCTTTGTTACTGAAACAACTAAAAACACTTTAAATGGCTCAATAAAGTCTGTGCTTGACAATTATCTTACCGCTTTCCTGTTGAGCATGAACACAAACCACCATCATCACCACCATTGATAAGACGAATAACTTCATGACTGCTTTTGATAACGGCTGCTATAGGCAAGAATCAACGAAAACAGTGTTGCAAATTAATTTTTTCACTGATGACAACTTAAAAAATGTATAATATTTCTATTTCTTTTTATAGGATATTGTTCAAATTTTGTTTGTCTCACTTTTCTGCTTTTATCAAAACCAACTAAATATCATGGTGGACTTCCCCTTTAAAGGTACTATGTCCCATTTGCAGGCCAAAAATGAAAAGGTTAAATTCTAACGGCATTTAAAAGACAATACTAATTTAGAACTTCCATCAAAACAAAAGGGCTTGAAAACGGTCGTACGTCGTACGTTTTGTGCTGCACAAAGATTCAATAAGTTTAATTTCGGCTACTATTACAAGTAGTGGGTTATTGATATAGACAAATGCTCATGTACCTGTAACAGCTCATTTTGTGTATGTTATTACCAAAGATAAATCAGAGATATCAGTCAGTCACTGACAGTGAAGTCTAGAAGGTAAACGTTGTTTTTTGCATAATTTAAATACTAGGACACTGCTAATGTTTAAATTTCATAGATAGGACATACAAGACATATTCATAATTCCTGCAAAGTTCTGCAGAATTTGACGTTGGCTGCAAAAGGGACATTATAGTCTCTTTAAAACAGTTGGATAATATTTTACAAATAGGTGGTAAACAAAAGAGGACCATACATGTTTGTTGGGTAAGACATAAAGCACTAGGTAATGTTTAACCAATTTCTGGTACATTTTACCTAACTATAAACATGCAATAATAATAATCGCTCATACCCAACTTTGAGTTTGAAAACAGTTAGTATTTTGAAAGCATTACCAGTTTATGAAGGTGGGTGTAAGTCAGTGGATTAAAGCCTTACCAAAAGACACTAGCACTTTTTAGACCTCCCGTTTACGAGATCACTGGGCCATCGCACCCTCAGAATTGCCAAAGCATAGCTCCTGATTAATGTGCACTAAAATCCCGTTGCACAAGAGGTAAACAAATGTCTAAAGAAATGCATACATGCGCTCAACAACTGAATATACATTAATTATTTCCAGATTCTGAATCTCAACGACCGAAAAACGTTTTATGTGGCTGCTTCGAAAGATAATACCTGTCTTGCCACTTTTAAAAGATCCCATTAAAACATACTTCTTTCCTCAGTAATAAAGTTTGATTCACCTATCTAATAGTTTCATGTTTCTCTTCATATTCTGTTACTTAGTAAGCGATGAGGTACTTTTTTGTTTTAGCGCTCCTAAATAATCGATATCATCGTCAATACAATTGCAAACTGACGGAATCAGAAAGACGTATCATATTCAACAGGCACAGCGTAAGGGATGTTGGTCCTACCTGATCTTGATGCGGTGTTCGAGTAGAATTTTGTGAGATGATGATATACTTTCTCGTAGCTAGCTTGATGTGACCAAGTGTCTCTACCCAGATATCTGTTGAATTATTGTCTAGATAACGTCTATATTATAGAATATCGAAGCCTGCAATGACCTTCAGTGAAATGGAGAGATGTTGCAATCAACCTCCGAACCGGGAGAAGATACTCAGATAAATAGAATGACCTTCTACTCGTAACCAACAAGTCACCGCATTCAAATTAAATTGCAAATATATAGTGTTCAACAACACGATGGTGAATGAAACTTTATAATATTCGAAATATATGACCCTCAGACCATATTGTTTTAATTATTTTTTATTCAAAGTTTTAATCATTGTCATTGTCATCATTCTGGAATCTCCGTTTTATAAATTTATTTTCTTGTCTGTGTATGAACTACAGCTGGATTTCGTATTGTTTGATAGATTGAATAGATATCGAAGCCTAGATATCGAAGATATTCGCACGGTAACCGACAAGTCACCACATTATGAATTATTCCACCTTAATGTACCTTCATTCTTATGCATCACGAATGAACACTGAATGGGATTCTTCAATGTTTGTTTTGATTAATTTCCTCCCCTTTTCTTTCTCCCTGTTTAATACTGATAATTTTTTTTCAATTATTCTTAATCAAGGCAAATTATTATTTTTATATTTTCTTTATGCAAGAGAGGGAGAGAGAGAGAGAATATGTTAACTGAGAATTATCGAGTACAACAATGAATTGCATCCTTTTCAACATTATTCAATTCGCTGAAAATATTCAGAATATGAATATGATAAATCCACATAATACACTAACGCTGTTCAACGCATCCAATGCTCCAACCATAGCCCGTATGCCAATACACCATATTTATCAAATATGAAAAGATTTTAATTTTGAAGAAAAATCAAATTTACAATGTACTGACAGGCATCAGTTGAAATCATGAATTCTCTGTGACTGGCTTAGCACTAGTTTCTGAGGGACCAGTCACTGAAGATCCATAATTCTACATGTGCAGCGAAAAAAAGTATACGCACACACACACACACACACACCACACGCACGCACATACACACATACACACACACACGCGCGCACATACGTACACATACTGTGCTTGAGGAGAGATTTCCCATTACACAGTGGCTGAGGGCTTTTTTAGTGGGGGGGGGGTGATTTGTTTGATGTTGATTTGGATTTTTTTTTTCCTCTCAACAAACAAAAAACGAAAAATTGCACAATTAAGATACAAAATAGTGCAAAAATATATTGCAAAAGACTTTATACAATTTTACTTATAACCTCATCAATGCAATTAGGATAGGTGCAGGGAATTGGAGCCCTTAAGCACATTTACATAATTTACATAAACATTACAAATGTTACACTTACAGAAAGTTTTGTATTCTCTTCAGTAACTTCTTCTCTTTATTTGGTAACAAAATTGTGGGCATGATGTAACTGATTAATAAGCTAACAATGATTAATGACGTCAGCACCAAAGGTATCCCATTACGTAAATGTGCAGACAATGAGGGACAGTTACAAATCAAGACATTTTGAATACAATTTGAATGAAAATGGAATTGTTATGGTTAGTTCAAACACTTTTTGATAGAGATATATGCAGCTAATGAACTTACTGTAATTTTGAAATGATTTTAAAACAATGTGGCCCAAAATATTTCTGCACATGGACAATTAACCAACCAGCATCGGGTCATTGACTGTCCTCGGCATATTCGACATTCACAACAAACGACCCCCATCTCTCTCTCTCTCCCTCTTTCACTCTCTTCAAACTTCTCTCCTTCTTTTTTTCTTTTAACCTTCCCTTTTCTCTCTTCTAGCATGATGATTATTGTTGTCTCGCCGAAATCTGACTAATTTTCATTAATGTATAACATGTAATTAGGAATAATATGTTTATTTAATTATGATAATTCCATTCCCTGCTCTCTCTCTCTCTCTCTCTCTCTCTCCGTCTCTCTCTCTCTCTCTTCCTTTCTCTCTTTGTACCTCCCCTTTTCTCCCATCCTCTCTCTCTCTATTCCATTCGCTTCATCACTCTCACTTTCATGAGCCATAAACCTTCCCCTGCTCTTGTATTATCTTCTGCGAGTACATCCTTTCATGTAATGTACATAAACGAACGCAATATAATTCTGCTGTATTGTCATTATGTCACAGATTTATCTACTATTGTTCGTAATACTATTGGACATGTATATAATTTACATCACTGTACCTTTGTAAATTGACCCTTTCAGCCTTGTGTTGCTAATCGATCATTTTACACCAATAAATGAATAATAATAATAACAATAATAATAAATCTTGGACCTGGTGTCCCCCATTACCTGCACATATTTCTGATCAGACACCATTCATAATGTGCTGTGCAACACTCATTCACAACATACAATGGCCATAAGTTTTCTGTGATGGTGGCACACTTCATAAACTTCATTTTAAAACTGCTTTTTAAGAGCCATGCACCCCTAAATATCTGCATACACCACAACATTCAGTGAAAATTGTGTTTTTATATCAGAGCAAAATTTTACGATCAAAATTGGTTGCCTTGGTCAATTTTGACAATTTTCTCGGAGAAAGAACACATTGTAGGCTTCGAAATGAATTGGATTATGTAGTAGTGTTGTTAAAGGCCACACATGGCGCTATAGCAATATTGGAGCCAACACGGACAGACAGTGATGGGTTCAAGTTTAGTGGTCTCCAATTCCCTGCGGTCTCCAATTCCCTGCACCTACCCTATGCATATACAAACGCTAGACGGCGGGAGGGGTGGGGGTAGGTCGTTGTTTTCTTTCATATGCACCCGTCCGGTCTGTTCACGATCACATTTTTCACAAATACGGCCCCCTCAAATTTTAATGTACTCCGCTATGCAGTATGCAATCCCTGATTTGAAATGCAGTATCCGCTAGTGAACAAGGTCATGTAAAATTAGGTGAAAAATAGAGTATTGAATTAAAAATTTCAATTACATTTTTCCAGCCGGATGTTCTGTGATAGCTTTCCACATTTAAATTGAAAAAGATAATCAAAAAAAGTGATTTAAGAATAAGTCGATTTGAAAACACCATACGGCCTGCTTTTGCAGTTGATCTTGCTATTGCCCGACCTTCATAATGTATGAGCGTATACTTTTTCAAATCTATATTGTTGTAAAGCGCATAGTCACAGTCAGACTGCAGCCGGTGCGAAAACCCTCTATATTGTTCAGCACGTATGCAAGAATTTACGTGTCTTGCATACACAATGAGTAGTGCAGACGGTCTTCCCGATCGGCAGTTTTTGCCTTTATAATTGTTCATTTCTCATGAAATGGGTCTTATTTTAAAGATAAGAAGTTGCACTCTCTATATACTTATATGACAATCATGTTAAATATATTTTGGAAACAGATATTTCGCCTTGAAAATGGGGTTTTTCGACGATAAATCTATCTAAAGAGTAGGGCTGATTTTCACATAGAAATCATTCTTGCGTCAAGAAGATGTTATAATCAGCATAAAGCATAAATATTTTTCTTTACAATGATATCAAAATTATTTTATTTTACGCTGTACCAAAGTCAGGAACCAAGAAAAATCACG